CGTTCTTTTTTTTTTAACAATCAAAATCATTGACCTTTTTTTTGTTTTAAATGTAAAGCAGTTTTAATATATAGATTTATATATAAAGCACTCCATTTTCATTTAAAGTCCATTATTTGGTTATTATGTAACTGCTACGGATTTAGAAACAGGTAAATTTCTCTTCTTCCGAAATCCATAACTTTCAGTGCTTAGAATTGTTTCTTTTAAATCATCCTTTTTTTTTTTTTTTTTTTTTTTTAACTTTTAACTCATCATAAAAATGTACATTAAAATGGCGTGGAGTCGGTACTCTGGAACCCTGGCCTTCCTGAGACAAGATCCACTTTTTCGTTTGTGTGCAAGATAGTGAGCAATTATGTCTTTTTCTTTCTCTTTTTTTTTTTTTTAATCTTTTTCATTTCTTTTTATACAAAGGAAAAATATATATAATCAACATAAAACATACAGGCTTCAGATAGTCCATGAAATCAACATCGACAAGAAGGTCAAACAGAACAAGACAACACTGTTCAATCCCAGAGTTCTGAAAGTAGCACGATTGATCTTCATTCTGTGAAGTGTTGTGTCGCACTTTTTCTTTAAAAATGGAAGCATTTGTCCTTTTTTTTTTTTGTCTTTTTCCAACATTCCCATACGTTTAATTCTTGTGTCGCTGATTTTTCTCGTTGTTGTAAACTGTCAGTGGCCTTGCAGAAAAGAAAAGAAAAGAAAAAAAAAACGACAACATGAGTGAACTGAACAGAACGAAAGCTAACAAACCAAAAAGGTAGGCACCTCTGAAGTGAGCCCTAGAAGCCAAGGCTCAGTCTGATGTCTTGTCCTTCACGCTCTCCGTTGCTCAGATTTTGGAGAGTTGAAGTCCTTCTACCTCGATCTATGGCCACAGGTCTGCAAAATACTTTTTTTTGCTGCATTTTTTAAATATATATGTGATTTTTTTTTTTTCATTTTTAGGTTTTATTTTTTTAGGTTTACAGTCTGAAAAATGGTGCAATACTCAATTATGATCCATACTTTCTTGGATTATTCCACAATGAAAGCCACTAAGGTAGATAAACATTACATTTTTAAAAACACACTTAATTTTAGTCCTTGAGTAAACATTTACACATGAACTGTCCCCGTCCCCCCTCAGTACTTGTATCATGTTGTTCATTTAGCTGGATGAGGGGTGAGGCCGACACTCAGTGCAACGCTAGAGGCTAGTAACAATTAACATCAGAATATAGTTTTGACAAGCAAAGAAAAAAAAAATCTAAGTATACTGAATCGAAAAAAGAATCACAAGGCGGATCTTCCTCCGCTGTAATCACGAGCTCTCACACAGTTTCATCGTCAACCTCGCGCGCTAAATAAACAATCATTCGTACGACATACAGTTCAAGCAGCCTTGTGCAAACACTCAAATACGACAGATGTAAATTTGCCTTTTATATCGACCTTTGTTTTCAACAACACTCGTATTTTAAATTTTGATTCGCTCTGAACCGTTGCTATCAAAAATCTCTGAAGTGTATGAATGAGACAAAAAAACCACTACAAAAAGTGTTCACATTACATTATTGGCGCTTCTTTTGATTCAAGTATTTGTTTTCATTATTTTGTATTACTCTGATATGTTTATGATCTTGTCTTCTGGGAAATGTCGAGGAGGACACACAGGCTGTAAGGGCTGAAGGGGAAACAGAGAGATCTAGTCGTATACACACATACAGCCGTTATGTACTCTTAGTTTGTATCTGTGTATGAACTAGCATGTGCATATTCAACCCAGGCCTCGGAGATCTGCTAATTCCACTCTACTCAGGGCCCCGGTCTGATCCATGATTGAGACGCAGATTTTGCTTGAGCTCCAGTTCCCTCTGAGTCCGTGCGACTTTATAGAAAAAAAGAAAAGGGGGGGCGAGCATCTGATTTCCAACACTAGACAGGTAGATAAGAGTGCAGGGGGGGAGGGAAGGAGAGGTGTGGGAGGGGGGCGGGGCTCTCAGTGCTGGTGCTGCGCCAAGAAATCCAGGGCACATCTGAGACCCGACCTCCGTCCCAGTCACCCGCCCTCCCGCGCTGTTCGACTCCCCTGCTTCCAACGCCAGTTCATTGATTCAAGTCCAGTGTGGAGTAAATGCAGGTTTTTCAGGAACAAACACACAAACAGACAACAACAGGCAATAGTGATTGGTTTGTTGAATGATGCTAGTCTCGAGCGACTCGGGAAGAGGGCAAAAGTTTTAAGACTTGGTACCAAACTTGAGGTGTGTCCCCCCATTTCTGCTGATACACCAGGTCCCTGCGTGGACCACCGACCCCAGAGCCAGATGTGCAGAAAATGACCTGTTGTAATAAATCCGCCTGCACCACCTTCAGGTTGGAGGTCCATAAATGAACCACCTGGATACAACTTCCCCCCCGCCTGGGAAGAGCCCAGGCAGGGGGGGAGGGGGGAGGGGGTGAGAAGGCGGCGGCTTGCAGAGAAAACAGGTGTCACAGCCTCGGAGTGCACAGCTGGAACAGACTTTTTTTTTTTTTTTCTTTCTAGTTTTTGCAAAAAAACCTTAAAGAAAAAAAAAAGATGTTTTTGGTTTTTAAAGAGATGTACCCGATGTGACCCATAAACAGTGCACAGACACATACAGGGACCACCCCCGCCCGCCTGGCCCCCCCCCCCCCCTCCTCCTCCTCCTCCTCCTGCAGCCGGCTTCTAATTTTCCAGTCCTTCGTTTATTAAATACCAGCACCATTCATCCGTCCTGCCCTTCTACTCCTAAAGCCTCCTGCAGCAAGAAAGCAGACTAAAGTCTCGTCACGCTAAAGGTTAATGAGGATATGGCGAGGTGGAAGAAGATATTTGTACATCAGTTGGCACAAAACTGAAAAAACTGATCGCCAACCAATAGTGCCTCCAGCAGGTCATTTTAGTGTCATCGTGTAAATGGACTTCTTCAGACAGAGGGGAGGGGGTGTCGGGGGGGTTTAAGGGCAGCTGCCTGGTCGTAAAGGTTGAGAGCTGAGTGGAGATTGGCAGATGTGGCAAATGGCTGTGTTTTTCTAGATGGCTGCGAACGAACACCTCCTTGTCTTTGCATAGAAATGGAAGGCTGTTATCAGTCGAGGTGGTACTAAGTGTAACTGAGTGCTCCCAGAGTTGAACATAAAGCACCAGTGTGAGTGAGGCCCATCGACACTAAAGGATGTGTGTGTAATGAGACGAAGGGGGAAAAGGAAGCTGGCTCACTATTGCGTCTAGAAGCGTTCTCTAACATGTCGTTTCTCACTTAAAACCCCCCTTTCATGACTCAAACTTGACCCCCCCCCCCCCCAGCCAGCCTTCTCTATTATGCATGACCTTGCTGCACAGCTGAGGCGTACCTCTAAAAACACCAATGCCTTGGAGGTAGTGGGAGGGGCAGGAGAGGAGCTGAACACTGCATAACGACTGATATCAAAAAGCCATGAAATCATCATCATCAGAAAAACAATCATTATCTATATCGTCAATGATAACAGCAACAAGATCAGCGAACTTCATGACAACAAAAATAAAAAATGCACACTGGCAATTCCGTAAGTAAAACCAAAAAAAAAAGAAAAACACAAAACACATGAAATGCCTCCATCTCTGGCTAAAGTGATCCTTGCAGGAGAGACAGAGAGAGTGGAGTTGGAGGTTGCTGAGGACAGACTCTGGCGCAGCAGTAGTAGTAGTAACTTAAATACAGGTGGGCCAGTTCTGATAGAGCTGCTCTTGGCTTGGAGGCCAAAGGGGGGAGGGGAGGAAAAAGGAGAGAAGCCAGTCTTGTATGGGGGATCCGCAGGGAGGCGGTGTCGGGCGAGCGAGCGAGTGAGCAGGAGGATGGGGTGAGGGCTGCTGCAGAGCACCTCGCTCTGCAGCAGGCAGGCACTCAGTGGCCACACTTTCACACAGGTTGGCAGGGCCTCCAAAAAGAAAGAAGACAAAAAAAATAAAGGACGAAAAAAAAGATGGCGATCCTCCCTGCTGGACCCAGTAACACACAAACACGTTCGAGTGTTTCCAGAAACCAAAGGCTAAAGATTTCAAAGTATGCAATGTAACAGTGATTTTTACTCTGATAAAGAGGGTGAGGACGGGTGCTTCTCACTGCTGCACCCATCATCAGTTTGTAAAGAAGTTCAATCTTTGTATTTCCCTTCACTTTGCTACCATGTTTGACATCCTTCCTGGTCCCACCAACTTGAGGGAAGAAGGACAAAAAAAAACACATCTTCACATCCATGTTAAGTTAAAAAATAAGTATATAGAGAAGCCACTAAGCAGATTGCTTTTTTTGTCTTTGTCAGTTTTTTTATTTGCCAGTGTTGCTTCTCCTTTCTTCTAGTCGTTGGCATTAAGGGTCAAACGAGCTGCGGCGCTCTCGCTAAGTGCTATGATAGACCACCTGTTCACAAACCTTTGCTTCATACTCCTCTACGTATTTGGGCAAAAAGAAAGAAAAATAAAGGTCATCTGGTCTTCTGGGTAAAAAGAAGGGAAAACAGGTTCCTTTCATTTTGGTTTGATGCCTTCTCCCCAAGCACACAAACTCACACACACACACACACACACACACACACACACACACACACACACACACATCCGTCCCCCCTGTCTCCCCCGAAACTAGTCACTGGCATAAGTGTGGAGAGTAGGCTGGCTGAAGAAGTGCTTTGTGGGTACGTCCTTGTATTTTGGACAGATGGGGGTTGAAGTCCAGCTCGCTACTCTCCTGAGCTCACACACTTTCGGGGAGGGGGGAGATGAAGGGTGGTAGTGGCAGTTTTAAGGGTGGAAGGGGGGGTAGGGGTGGGCGCAGGGCAGATAGAGCTTTTGCAGTTCAGTCATTCCTTATAGTCTCCTCTCCGCTTGAGAGAGGTTATGGTAAGTTTTCTTGGACGGTAGAGTCTGTGGCTTATATTGCACGTCACTTGTTTTTTTGCAGGTGGAGTGGAAGAGAGAATCGGGGGGAGGGGAGGGGGGGGGGGGGGGTGTTTGACAACACTGGTGGGAAACATTTTGAGGTTTTCCACAACATCAGAGACAGGGTCCGAGACTGAGACCAAAACTGCGAGCGTCCCGCAGACGAGGTGAGGTGCATTGAAGTTATTTGTCTTTTACAGTTCCGTAGTAATAGCAGTGGTTCATTTTTTTTGTCATCCATCCCGTCTTTAAAATGTTCACGCGACAAACCCCCAAAAACTCTCACCCCACCAGGTAAGATTGACAGACACATTTTTTTTTTTAGCTTTGCTCGCAATGGTTTAAGAAGAAAACGTAAAAACACTAAAAACCACTACAAAAATCAAATGGCTTGGACACAGAGTTGCATCATTCCCTTTGAGCGTGTTGTGGGGGAACTTAATCTGCTTGCAAAAATGCACTGAAAATATGAGCTGTGGTTTGTTTATGTAAATCCGCAGCAGCATGTAATCTCCACTCAGGTTTCACTGGCTCAGAAATAAGGGTGTGCAAGTGTCCGTATGCTTCTTCACCAAGTACAGAGTGAGTGAGGACAGCAGGGCAGGAGAGAGGTTAAGGCTAATATTAGTGCTGAGAGAAACAAATGTTGAGTCTGGACCAGCTGAAAGTTTCGACAACCACTCTGATTGAAGGTTTTTTTTTTTTTTAACTTTGGGAATGATGCCTTTTAATGGGTCTCTGAGGTGCAGTATGATTGCCTCAAAAGGCAGAGAGGGATTACGCAAGTTTCAGGATGGCAGCTCATCGTCGTGTCAGTTTGACTTAAGTACAAGTTTCACACAGCGAGTTCTCCAAAGTTCACGTCTGTAAAAAGTTCTCTTTTCTTTGTTGAGTGAAAGACTTTTTTTCCTGTGTCTCCACGAGTGAGAGCCAAACACTGTGAGCTAAATCTCTCACTGAGATTCACAGAACGAACTGCAAATGAAATGTTGACAAAAAAAAAAAAAAGGAGTCGAGGAGGTGGGCGAGGATGAGCAGCGAGGGTGAAGCCTCGTCCCTCCTCGCGTCGCTCCTTTCCACCGTCACACCCACACTGATTATCTCCACAATGATTTGCAAAGTTTTTCGCTCCTATTGGTGGTTTGTTCCTACATGGACTCTCCGCTGAGCAGGTCCCCAGGCAGCAGCGTATTGATTGGGGTTGGACTCCCCACCACCCGTCCCTCCTCTCCACTCGGGGGTCCCCACAGGCTGGAGTACTGTGGCACGCCCCCCCACAGCAACTCACCGCCCGCCTTTCCTCCGCCTGTTCCCAGGCCGCTGCTACTGCCGCTGCTGCCACCGTTGTTGTTGTTCCAGTGGGGTGAGTGACCAATAGGATGGGACGCTCCAGACCCGGTCCCGCCCATCCTCGACTGATTGGAGCCTGGAGTGGCCTGCCAGCTGGTCGTCCCGCCCATCAGCTGGCCCTGTGCAAAGAAGCGGTTCACCTCCTCTTCCCCGGCAAACTCCGCCAGGATGGTGGTGTTTCCGAGCACACACCTGGAGGAAAAGCACAAATGATTGTTAAAAAACTTAAAATCAATAAAGTAAAAAAGAAAAGAAAAAGGTGTTCAGTTCAAGAAGTCTTGTACATGTGCAGGGACTTCTGAGCCTTGGCAGCTTCGTCCTTGGAGCTGTAGCGCACGACCGCGTTGCCCTGCGTCAGGTTGAGGTGGAATGTGATGAGGGGGCCGTGCTGCATGCACAGAGTACGCAGAGTCGAACCATCGATCTGAGACACAAACAACAGAAAGAGTCAAACACAGATTCAATTTCCTCTTGTGACAGCTAAACCCCAATTACACAGGATTAACATTACCTGGGGACCTCTGATCATTTGTAAGAATTGTGCAGGACGTCTGTGTTTTAAATCCCCTGTGAACCGACCATGTCTGTAATATTTGAAGTATAAATGACGGGGAAAAACACCGGCTATGTTTCTGCAAACACAGAGGTGCTTTGATAAAAGTTATCCAGTCCGATTAGCTTTTAACATTTCCTCTTTTTTCTTGTGGACATCTTCTCTCAACAAATCACCTGCAGGCTGGACATTATAAAGTGTGATCCTGCCCCCTAGAGACCAGGGAGATGTAATTTCCTCCAAGTTTCCAATCAGAAATGTCAGTAAATTCAAGTAAATCAAAGACTTCACTTGTCCTGTACAAATATGCTGCCCCAAGCACCAATATTGAGGGGTTATAGTAATCCTGTGCAAGTAGGGCTCAATAGAAAATATTGGACTGTAGCGGGTTACCTGTGGGGTGAGGTTCCTCAGAACCAGCCAGCTGCTGGTCCTGTTGGAGGTGTCTGTGCTCCACGTGGTGCCTGCTGCATGAAACACAGAAACACAAACACAGCAGAATGTTTGTTACCAGGAAGTCGATTGTTCATCTGAAACCAAAATCAGTTACTTCCACTAAACGGGTGGTGTTGATTTGTGCCCTGCAGAGAACCACCACCCAGTGACAGTTGACAGTGTTCCAACCACAACAAGACGTTTGTTTGTCATCTCGTCTATTCCTCCTTCAAGACGGGCCTGTGTGGCTGTACACCACATCAAAGCGTTTCTCTTCGAGTACACCCCGACTACAAACTGTACACATCATCAACACGCTCCATAACGACCTTAAGATAACTGGTTTCACAACAGAATAACAATTGTCTGCAGCTGTGCGTCTTTCTTTAGTTTGTCTTGATTATTTAAGCGGTAAGAGGATTAACTCATTTTTCATTTGCCTTCACAAATCTTTGCAGCTAAAATCTCTGAAAGAATGTGAAATCTATTTATTGACGACTAAATAAGACTAGAATAAAATGTTCTGTAATACAGACTAGGCTGTTAAATTAAATAATTGTGCTCTTCTCGGAGTTGGAAGGTTTTTCTTGTGATAATATAAGAAAAGGATGTAAAAGAGTTTAACTGGGATTTGAAAATCAAAACAGCAACATATTTGCTTCAAACAATTATTGGTTCCAGTGACCCTGTAATATTTGCTCGTCTTTCTTGAACAGTTTTTGTTTTCATATCAAAGTCACACATCGCAGAAGGAAACTTAAAACACTTTGCCGTCTGCCTCCCTAAATGTTTCTCTAGAAAGACTACCTGAGGTGTAAGAGCTGCTCCAGCCTTGAGCCAAACCCAGCGAGTTGCCCCCCCAGGTTGAAGGCTTGGTGTTGGTGAGACCGGGCGGGGGTCGGGAGGGTGCCACGTTACTGCCCCTGTGGCTCTGGGGGACTTTCCACAGCTCGTGGGACAGAGGGGCCTGGCTGTGAGAGATGGGGCCTGGAGACCATGTCGATTTCATCTCTGGGAGTTTACCTGAACAGCAAAAAACAATCAGAAAAGGTTTGTCTGCAGAACGTAGAAAGAGCTGCTCAGACAGCAAAGAGTTAAAATGATCTTTCATATCCGCTCAGAAAACTACATTTACCATGCCACACAAATAAAAACACTAACACCACATCAGGGGAAAGATGCACTGCATGAGAGGCAAGGTTTAAAGTGAGAGGTCTCAAAGGAGGGTCATATTTTATCGGGGGGGGGGGGGGGGGGGTCTTTAAAGGACGGGAGAGATCAGGCTGTCCAATGAGAGGCTGACGTTCTGGTTGTTATGTTAACAGGAGGGAGAGGATAAAGTTGATTTGCAGTGATTCAAACCATGTACCTGCATCGTCCATCTCCGGGGACGACAGACTGAACGAGCTAGTGTAGGCACTGACTGGCCAATCAGAGGAGGGAGGCAGAGCCTCGTTCTGAGATGAAGTGGGAGAAGAGCCTGAGCCGATACCATCAACACAAACAGAAAGACAGACACAAACAAATAAGGAAAAAATAGAAGAAGAAGAAATGGAGTAAAGGAAAAGTGCACAAACATGATGGAAGTAAGAAAATAGTTCAAACAAAGACGGTGATTATAGATGAGGTTTAAAGTAAGAAAATGAAGAGTGGAAGAAGCAGCAGCTTGATATTTAAGATTTAAGTTATGGAGGAGACAGAGTTCCATAAGTTCAAAAACGTCTGCTTGGGTTCCCTGTTGTTTATTTATTTTTTTACATGTAGTGACTGAGACACTGAGTCTACACTGCTCTCACCTCCACTTCTGTCCCGTAGCAGGTAGCGGTTGACATCTTGGATGTTGGTGTTGATGGTGGGCCCGCTGGGGACGCTGCCAGGTGTCATGTTGGGGTCGTTCTCAGGGTCGATATTCTGGAGACCCTTCCAGGGCACACCGGGGCAAAACTCTGGAATAACAATGATATTTTACAACTCTTTATAGAGGGAGCAATCTAAGTACTGAGCAATTGACCTTCAGTGCAGTTTCTCTAATGCCCCAGATAAATCTTTCCTTTGTTTTTGAATTGCCAATCTCTCCCTAATTTTGTGTCGTTCACATAGTTGGAGGATCAAATCTGAGAGTGTGTTTTTATTTCACAAGGAGCTGCCAAACAGGTTGGCAGCGATGTCGATCATTTAAGTGAGTCTGCTGAGACCTCCTAACCTGGTGGCCAGTTGATATTGGTCCCGTTGGCCATCTTGTCACTGCTGCTCTTGCTCTGGCCCCCAGTTGTCTTGGGAGACCAGGGGGCTTGTAGGAGACTCTGAGCTGGACATCAGGTTGTAGGGGCTGTAAGAGTCCTCCAGCTGATGAGGCTTGCCAGGGGGCCCCAGGTTGGCACCTGAGTAAAATATATATGAAAAAGAACTTTGTTAAAGAAATTTTATCAGCTCTTTATCAGAAAGAGCTTCCTGTGGTGGTGACTCTTTGCTAATTACCCAGCATGCACTTGTGTTTCTCACCATGTTTGCCGAGGTTGGACTCTAGAGGAGAGGAGCTTCCAGAGAGGCTCTCGATTGAGTTTGGATGCGTCCACTGCGACAGACGCGATTGAGGCTGGGGGGGTTCCTTCATCGACAGACCCCCCACCTCCATGCAGTTTACATTCATGTTTTGATTCAGTCCAGCTGTGGAGAGAGAGAGAGAGAGAGAAAGAGAGAGAGAGAGAGGGAGAGGGAGAGAGAGAGAGAGAGAGAGGGAGAGAGAGAGTGAGAGAGACAGAGAGAGTGAGAGAGAGAGAGTGAGAGAGAGAGAGTGAGAGAGAGAGGGAGAGAGAGTGAGAGAGAGTGAGAGAGAGAGAGAGAGAGAGTGAGAGAGAGAGAGAGAGAGAAGGAGAGAGAGAGGAGAGAGAGAGGGAGAAAGAGAGAGTGAGAGAGAGAGATATATGTTAGTACACTGCTCAGCGTTATCCGTGCACCCAGCAGAGAGACGTCAGTGGCACTCACAGAGAGAGTAGGGGCTGTAGGTGTTTGGAGATGACTGCGGCTCTTTGGTCTGCAGGTCAGAGAGGCCTGGAGCCTGGGGGTGACCTGGAAATGAATCCAGGGGAGGATTTAGACCCGCCAGGGTGAAGGCCAGAGTGGGAGGGGGGCGGCTGCTGTTGTTGCTGCTTCATCAGCAGGGCCTGGGCCAGCTGACGCTGGTGTTGTTGGATCTGCTGCTGCATGTTATTGATTGTACGTGCAACCTGAAACAACATCACAAAAGAAACATTTAGTAACGATAATGTTACATATATTTAGATTTACGTTAGACAGTGTTGTTTTGTGATCACAGTGCATCATGACTATTTGAGAAGGCTACGAGGGAAACTCACTTGCTGCTCTTGTTGTCGAATGGGGCCGGAAACGTTGCGTTGCGCCTGCAACATCTGCTGCTGAATTTGTAAACGCTGGTATGCCTGTGGATCAAGGATAAAAACATCATCAGGGCTGTAATTCAGTTTTAACTACAGTATTAAAAAAACACTGTTTGAAAAATTTTAAGAATTTTAAAGGGCAAACAGTACAGTCCAAATTAACTCTAATTTAAAAAAGCTGCTAATGCATTTGGTCTTCAGCTTCATGAATATGAAAACACAACTTAGTAAAATGGTTTACAAACATTGAAGTAGAATCTGCAGATCAAATTAAACTGATCGTGCATTTTGACTTTGTAGGTTTAGGGTCTGAGATATTTGTCATGTGCGCTCTCATGGAGGTTTTTAAGGTATCTGTTCAAACTTAACGCAGAGGAGCTGGATGACACTCACCAGTTGCAGCTGGTAAAGTTGATTCAGAAGGGTCATATGTTGAGGGTTTATTGGTGAGGTTAAAAGTGCAGGATTCAGACCAATGTTTTTTGCTGCAAACTGTAAGAGCTGTGCTTGAACCTGTGGGTAAAATATCAACACATTAAAAACACATTCAAATGTATAAAAGGGGGAATGTATTGGTGTTTGGTGCATAATCTCTTCATTTGGAGAAAAAAGTCCCAAAGCACCTTGAAATATTAAGTTCTAAGAAGTGGAAATAATCTGCCTCTTTACCGATACGTACATTTCTATCAGTCCAAATAGGTCGGAGTCGATGCATAATAAATGAGAAATTCTAAGTGGAGATGTTTATTGACGCTGTTATCTGAATGCTTAATATCTGTCATGCATACATTTATATTTTCTTAGAGATGTGTCAGTGTAGTGATGAGGCCTGCTGTGTGTGTGTGTGTGTGTGTGTGTGTGTGTGTGTGTGTGTGTGTGTGTGTGTGTGTGTGTGTGTACCTGAGGGGAGAGAAACTGAGGCACTTGAGCACGTAGACTAGGCTGAGAGGAACTGAGAGGCGGCACTGGTGGCTGAGGAGGCGGCTGAGGCTGCTGCATGGCCCGGGCTTGTGCTGCTCCACCTGCTCCACCAAACATTCCACTCTGCATCTGCTGGACGAGTCACAAGAGAAAAATCAACCTCTATTTCAGGCAAGCACACACAAAAACTTTCCACCATAACAAGAGGTTGTTCTCTTCATGGTGTGTACTATTGAATGACCTTATCCATGTAGGGCAAGCGGGAGTCTGCTGAGGGGTCTTTGGAAAGAAGCGGAGGCCGTGGGCAGCTCATGGGCTTGTTGATGAGCCCGTTGTTGTAGTCGTGACCGGTCATCCCCATCCCCCGCTTGTCTAGCTCTGTCTTCTTCTCCAGCAGAGCGCTCATGGCCTGGTCTAGGTTCATGTTGTTGCTCTTCAGAGCCTCCTCTGCCGGGTCCCTCTGGAGGTATGAGAGGAAAGAATCAGAAAGGTCAAAAACAAATCAGGCCAAAGAGCAGGTTAGGAACTATGTTACAGGTCTGATAAGAAGAAGTAGATCACTGGTCTTAAAACTGGGCTTCAACTTTGTCTTAAATGATTAAAATCACGGCTGTAAGTGAACATAACTTCTCACTTTTCAATGTTTCTTATTAAAGGCCCGTTTCTACCAAGCGGTCGGGTTTGGTTAAGTACAGTTCAGTATGGTTAATCCTGATCTAGCTTGTGTTTCCACAGCCAGCTGTACTCTTGTGGAGTGTAAACCAGATCTGCATGAGCTACGTTATAGCACGACATCATAGCAGGATGACATTGGCAAAAAACAAAACCAGCTTTTAAGTTACTCTCTTATAATCCAGTGGATATTTAAACATGGCATGTTTTGTGTTTGTCCCTCCTTTATTACCCCTGTGGCACGGGAAGTGGCAATTCTTTCGACCAATCAGTGGACGGCAGGGTGTTTAGCTCCACCCTCTAGGGTCAGATTGGTACGTTGGGCAACCCAATAGAAGAATAGCAAAAAAGCAGGACAGTACAGATTGGGTATTTTGGCACCATTTTTAAGTTTTGACAGTGAAATGCCAGTAAATGTGTACCGTACTTAACTGAATCAGACTGCTTTGTGGAGTCTTAAAAGTCTATGTTTTTTAAAACTTGTGGGATATGCTGCATTTTTTAGTTATTTAGGAGCTGATGGTGAAATCTTCAAATATCTTGTTTGTCTGACCAACAGTAAGCATTGAACAGGTAAGCATCTATATCTCATTAATATACAACCAAATACACTGATTTATACCACAAAGCATTACATGGACAAAATACATGAAGCAAATAAATATTGCTTCATTTTGTGTTAAAGTAAATCTCCTTATTGAAGGGAGGAAACGTAAGAAACAGGAGAAAGAAGAGACAGTAGACTCACAGGGAAGCCCATATCTGTCAGCTGTTTGATGAGACGATTCATGATCCAGGCATCTTCTTGCTTCACTGGGACTTTCACCTGAGCGGGAGAAGAAAAGAAACTTAATATCTGACTGTAAACATGTTGTAACAGATTGTTTTTACAGGAAATCTACTTTGGTCAGCACCTTCTGTGGGGCTTTTTTGGATGCATTGCCCCAAGAGTTGCAGGAGGAGTTGCTTTCCTGGGAGGCAGTGTTGTTCCACATGTCTCCCTCCTCAGCGTCCCACTGACCCCCCGACAGGTTCAGCTCTTCACCTCCACCTCCCCATCCATCTTGCATAGGTTTGGGTGCTGGAAAACACAACACAAGAGAAGTATGAAAAGAAAATGTTAAGTGTGTAAACACTGAGTGATAACTCTGCAATGTGAGTCTTGATGTAAAGTCATCGAGAAAAGTTAGAACTATCTCTTAAAAATAGTTTATGCTAACAACAGAAGGCTCAATTTGATAATCCTCAAAACTTTTCAGTTTCTCTTTTTGTTTATACAAAAATATCAGAGGGCCACTAGGGGGCAGCATGGGTTGCTGGTTTTAATTCACAATGCTCTTGCTTCCCGGGTATCATTTAGATGTCCTTGAAACATCAAGGCACAATTGTTGAACTTTTTTTTTAGCGATGCGGAATACACAAGATATTTTTATTTTTCCTCAAAGTTACAAATTGTTGGTAGAAATCCTGAAATTAGGCTTTTTACCAGGTTTGCAAGACGCAGGTGGCATCGTCTGGTTGCCCCGGCCATAGCCGTCAGGGTTGTTGTCTGCCCAACCTCCACAGGTGCCTATAGGCTTGCCCCAGGAAGACGTCCCGTTGTCCAAGCTGACTGGAGCGGGTGCAGCTTCCCCCCACGAGTTCTCTGATTTACTGTGGGAGCTGGATATCTCTCCCCAACCTGGATGACACAAGAAATAATTATTCCACTTAAAAAAAAAAAACTTTCATCCAGCATTCAGTCTCAGTTAAGCTTTTTCATAGCATAGCAAAGAGATACTACAAATTTAAAATAATGAGCTCACTAAAACTATCAAGGCCAGAAACAAATAAGGCAAATTTTCAACGTGGCATTGTCTGAAACAACTGAGGGTCAGAGTAGTACAGCTGTCAGTCTTCTGCTATCCAGTTTACAAATCCAGTTTACAAATATCAGAGACTTTCCCTGGATTATTTAATTTACTGAATTTGTTCCACAATAAGCAAAATGTTTGTGCCAGCTTGCGTTGCATGATCTCATGCTTCATTGATGCTCTCTCTTGATTAAAGTCAGAATCATCCTGACTTAATGTAAAAACGTTTCCCTTTAAAAAGAGGAGTATTCTCTTTTTTTGTAATTCAACTTTCATGAGTTTAAATTGATTGATAATTTATTTAAAAAAATCTTAACAATTGTATACCTTATATTGCTCTGAATTAAAGCCACAGACCTTAACAAATCCTTACTAAAGCCTTTTTTATTTTGGTTAATATTTGTTGATAAACTGAGCTTTCAATCTTTCTGAGCCTCTGACACATCATCACCCCGTTAATCCTTCTCTTTAGGAGTGTGAAGTGCCACTCGTGCAGAAATCTGGGCTTGCTTTGCAGGATGGTTGACACACAGAGAAGATGCCCGTTTAAGATTTGGCAAAGCCTGGTCCCTCTTGGCACCAGAGACATGGTGCTGTCTGTGGGCCAGGGGCAGTGCCAGGCTCAGCTTAGCTCTCTCTCCAGGAGGAGGTCAGATCATGCAGGCCGCTCAAAAATGACAGCACAATCAATCGTCTAGAATAAGTGGCCAAACAAGTGCATCAGTGGTCTAAATATAGCACACAAGGTTAAACAAACTTCATCATTTTTTCAGCACTTTTTATGCTTGGTTAAGAACAATATGTTTTTTTTATGCCAGCTAAAGGGAAAGCCACCAGGTTTTATTGAAAAGCAAGGGAATCCAATGTGGTGACACTGTGCAGGGTCAAGTGAGGGACAGCAGGGGGCGCCTGCCCCCTAACAGTTCCTAAGGGCTTGCTCCACCTCCTCCCTTCCACGACTGACAGATGGTGGCTCCCATATAATCACACACTTCCTATCCTTCTCAAACAGTTTGTGGTGAATCGCTATTTTCACGAGGCACTTTGTAAACAGCATTCTTGTGCTTCCCTTGAGTACCCATGAGAGGTTGCCAGGGTTACCCGCACAGAAGGGTCCAGTGTTGTGAAATCTGAGGAGCCTCATGGAAAGACAGGGCGGGGCTGCTTAGCTCATTTGGATAGTGAATTAGATGTAAATCCAAGGAGGACAAACTAGGACAAGTTTGACCTTTAAGTGGATCAACAGATTGGAGCGTAACAAAGGACTGTTCCCAATAACCAACCAGCTTTTATGTTTGACACCTTTGCTTTGAACAATAAAACACACAGAAATTAGGAAAATTATTTAACTTAAATTTCAAATTGGAAACAAAACCCCATTTATATCTGAATGCTTACAATTTAAAAATGTGTTTAGGTCAATAAATCTGCTAAAAACTATACAACAAAAACACTGCAGAAATTAGAGGCTAGGGTTGTCTTACCTTGAGCTATCAGGGGACCCCGATTGTGAGATGGCCCAGACTGATGTTGGGCAACAGGATCCATGGGTCCACTGGTGGGCCCTGGGTTTTGGGAGTTGGGGGTGTGGTTCTGTAAAGGTGCAGGCGGCCCATGATAATTGTGATTGTGAGAAGGAGGGTGGTTGTTATTGGAGCCAGGGGGGTTATTGCCTCCAGTGGGGACTTTGGCCTGGGAAACACCTGGATTGTTCCTGTCCCACAAGTTGACTGCTTTGCTGTAGGTACCAGGGTCCCCCCAAGCTGATGTCCCATCATCTATCTCCATCTTACGTCTGATTGAAGGTGGAGAGGGCTCCTCCCAGCCTGTGGGCTCTGCTGAGGATTCCTGCTTGTTGCCAGTCCAGCCACTGCTCGGCTTTACTGGGCCTGGGCCGCTCCAGGAGCCCATGCTCCCTCCTCCACTGCTTCCACTGGGCCCATCCTGAGGCTTGCTCCCCCAGCCTTGGGGAGGGCCATTGGGGCGCTGGCAGACAGACTCACCCCATCCCCCATTCCCTCCAGGTCCAGACATCCCAGGTCCTGTAGAAGGCATTCCCCAACCTCGAGGATTCTCCTTCAAGCCTCCTGTTTCCCCTTCCCACCCAGGGTTGGTGGAACTCTTTTTGCTCTCTTCTGCCTCTCTCCAGTCCCCTGAATTATTGCTCCCTCCACTGCTACCCCAGCTGTGAGATGCTTTTGGCTGATCTCTCCAGCCCTGGGATGGTGTCTTGATTTGAGGTTCATCCCATCCAGTAGACTTTTCCTCTCCCCAGGACTGTCCCCCATTCTTGGGTATACTGGTAGAGGGGCCTGTTGGTGGAGGATTCCCCCAGCCACTGGGGCCACTTTGGGGTTTAATGTTGTTGGGTTGCTCTCCCCAACCAGAGCTAGGCTGGTTGGAAGCAGACATGCCTCCACCCCAACCTGAAGCTCCCTGAGAAGCAGGCACATCATTTTTGCCCCCAGGGTCAGTCCTCTGTGAGGAGCCCATGTTAGTGTTGGAGGGTCCTTGGGTGTCACTTGGGGTGCTTGGGGTGGTTGGGCCAGAGCCCCATGAATCAGAGCTTTCATTCTTGCGTTTAGCATTTTCCATGTCCCAAGAGGTATGCTGACGAACAGGGGTCTGTCCCCAGCCAGTGTTACACAAAACCCTGGGGTCCAGATCCTGGGCAGGCAGCAGAGGAGCTGGATTATCTCTGGCTGAAAGGTCTCTTTGCCGGGGATGTCCTTCCATGCTGTCACTGCTACCTTCACTGGCAGCAGCTGTGCTCACAGCTCTGTTCCAGGGACTACCCTGTGCATCCTGGGGAGGAGAGCTAGGGGCATCCCAGCCCCCCTGTGTCTCTTCAGTGTGCTGCTTTCCCCAACCTCTACCAGACTGGTCACCCCAGCCTCCAGAGTTTCCTGCTCCACTTCCTCCATGGCCCCAGCCTGAGTCCCAGCCAGGTGCCTCCTTTGATGAAGGTGCCTTTGAGTCGCCACTGTTACCCCATACTGAGCTACCATCTTCTCCATTGACCTGTGGGCCCCCTGATGGGGGCTGGCCCATGGAACCTAAGCCTACAGGTGCACTACCCCAGCCAGGCAAATTGCGGATGGGGCTGGGGGGTTCCTGTTTATTAGTGTGATTTGGTCCATCAGTTTTAAGGTTCTGAGGTTCTGAACTGAAAGACACATTTGTGGACGGGGAGGGGTGTGGCTCTGATGTATCAGAGGTCATCATGCTACCCCAGGCGCTGCCAATCACAGAAGAGTTGCTGTTAGTGTTGGCTCCAGTACAGGTGCTGGTCTGGGTTGGTGGGGGGCCAGATGGATTACAGAGGTTGGGTGTAGGTTGAGGAGTTGAAATGTTGTTGGCTCCCCCTGAGCTGCCTCCCCCTGTGCCACCCCCATCATGTCCCAGCATTGGCCAGGCTGAAGGGTTGGCATTAGGGTTTAGGTTCAAGTTAAAGTTGTTGGTGGAAGATGATGAAGAAGAGCCCCAGCCCCTGCTGCCTCCTCCTCCTACTGAGCTGTCACTCTTCCCTTCACTCCCCACTGAAGACTGAGGAGGGCAATGGGAGGGTCCAGCCCCAGAGCCCCAGCTGCGATTGGCTGCAACCTGGCTAGAGAGCATGCTGGTTCCAGTATGATTGGCAGGGCTTGGCCCACTGTTGGCCTTGCTGCTAAGTTGGTTGGCAGGGAAGTGGCCAGCCTGGCTATTAGCCCCTGTGGCCATAATCACTGTACTACAACTACTACTAGTACTACTGCTGCTGCTGGTCAGGCGACCAGGATCAGTGTCCAAAGGGCATCCTCCTGGAGGGGCCTGGCTCTGGCTGAGGGTAATAGAAGGCCAAGCCTCTGTGTCCTTCTGGTCAATGATCAGTTGATCCCAGCTACTGAGATTGGTGGAAGATGCAGCACTTGTGGCAATCCTGTTGGCTGGCAGGTGTCCCCAAAGGGGATTATCATGCTGGGCTCCCGTGCCACTTTGTGGGGGCAGTTCTGTGTGAGAGAAAAGAGAAACAACATGACATGAGCATAAGCTGAAAAATGACAAAAGACATCTAAATCATGTATTTCATCACTCCTACACATTCTACCTAAGGTTAAAATACCAAGGAAACATTTAAGGTGTCTACGTACATAGACAAAACAAAATGCTTTATTAATGAAAATAAATACCGCCCACACAAAAGAGCACCCATAGCGTGGAGATGAGCAATGCAATATCAGAGATATCTTCAATTATTTTAAAAAAGCAACATTTATAGACTTCTAGCACTTAACATTTTCATGGTTCACACACATTTTAATTCAAATGCATCCAAATGCACCATGACTGAAGACATAAACAAGACTTTCCTTGACCTAACTGCGATCAGGAAAGAGAATATACAATGTAACTATGGATGACTTGCTTTTTGCTTCAAAATTGTATTTGCTGTACCAGATTCTTTTGGTCCGCTAAAATAAATAAAATAAATCTGCTTTTAATATTTATTCACCAATTTGAGGATAAAGCCCTCATAGCTAAGTACTGAGTCATATCTGTGCACCACATTAAAAGGATATAATCCATGTTCGAGGCCAATGCAACTGAGTCATCTTCGACTTCTGATCCCCTAGACATTGCAGTCATGACCTCTTCTTAATGTGAAGCACAAACACTCTGAACAAGCCTGGAAAACCTGATTCCAAACCAAACGTGTGCCTCTGTCTACCTGCACATCTCCTAAAAGTAATGCTCTGGCTTATCTCATATATATCCCCATGGAGTTCAGCTAGTTCAATATATTGATCATGTTGATTAAAAATATAGCCCACTTGCAGATCATGAATGCTGCACTGATCAACCTGCTGCTAACGGATTGCCTATTTCCTGCTGCCTCGAGTGTTGCAGTAGCTTGTTGTTTACATGTTCCATCACATGCATGCGTAGTTTGTTTGCAAACACACTTTCACAATTGCATTTGGGAAGTGACAGCATTTGTGCACCACCCCCTGCTTTAAAGCTGAGTTCACTGCTTGCAACTAAAAGGAGAGAGCAGAGGCAGTGAGAAAGTACGGGAGGGGAAAGAGGGCACTGTGTTTCTGATACACACAGTGCTGTCGTTCTGTAGCGTCACTCCGCTGAGGAGTGCAGGACCGCCATTTTCTCAGTCCTGAACTACAGCCAAAAAGGCTCTGAGCTGCCGTCTGCAGCTCCTGCTGTAAAAGCATGCACGTCTCACTTAAAATAATACACACAAATCAGAATATCTCAGCCCTGCATGCCTGCGATGCACTGTCGCTTTAACAATCGAAAGGGCTCACTGCTTATCCACAGTGTGTAAAAACAAGCCACCAAAACAACGCAGATGGAGCAGCAGATAGAGGAAAACAGGGAACCCAAGCGGCAAAGAAGGGGAGAGGTGATACATAGTAGTGAAATACCTGTGGAGAGGTGCCTCCCAACCATCCTGTAAAGAGCTAGGTTTTGTGCGACGCAGCAACCATCCTTGTCTCAATATGTCTGCCTGGCTCGCCAAGCTTCTGAGGCTCGTTTCTGAAATGCTGCCAAGAAGTTGCACAGCTCTTGCGCGGCATAAGACACCACCCCACCCCCCCCACCCCCCCACCCCACCTCCCTCTCTTCTTCCTCCCTCACCACTCATGCACAGTCCCTCCCACCAACACGGCTCCGGCTGGGTCTCTCCTCTTCTATCTATTGCCTCCCTCTGGCTTTATTTATAACGTTACTCTATTCCTATCCTGACGGAGGATATACTCTTTCTCTCTGGAAGAGCACTGAAAGAAGTCGGCTTGGGGAAGGGGTGAGTTGGAAGGATGGGGCAGTATTGATGGTGGGGGGGGGGGGGGGGCTCGACTAACAGCTGAATGATAAAGCCAAGGGACCTTTCATTAAGCACTCACACAAGGCATGAGGAAAAACAACCCCCCCCCACATCTTTCAACCTTTCAAAACTGTCACTAAATATTTGGCCAAGACCACTCCATCTGCAATTAGCACTGCCAGCCCACAATGGAAAGCCTTTTGAATAGCAGTGGCAGAAAGAAAACCCACAAGAGCCTGCTGCACCCACAGTGCTGGAATGATAATTTTTCACACATGCATGAGTTCATGTATGCACAGGCACGTCATCAGGCCACACATGATGACAAATGTTTGTTTTGGTCGACTACTAGCTGTGAATGTCTTGATTATACTGTCAGCGGCAGCAGTGGCGAGCTTTCAGAAGCTAACTGCCGCCCACTTTAAAAGGGGTACTTTCAGGGCAGTGGGCAAGAAAATGACATGGCTGTGCTCTTACATATCACAGTGCATGGATTAGAGGCCGGTGATCTGCACAGGAGTTACAGCAGATAGGCAGAGGAAAAGAAGGGGGGGGTGAAAGAAAAAAGAAAAGAGCCGAAGCCACTGGATCAAGGCTGGTATTGTTTACAAATGATCCCAGCGCCCACGCAACAACACAATAAGTCAATGTTTGGTAGAGAACAGAGTCCCTTTATAACAAGGGTTCAGTTCACTGTGCCTCTCAGCTGTTAGGACTGAACATGCGTTGAGGTCATGGCATGCTTCTGCATGGCCATTCACTACTTATCTTAACAAGGGCACTGTGCAGACTACCGTTGTCATGATACCAGAATTTAACATTTAGATTTAATGCTACTAAAAATCTAATTATATCTGTAACTGCTTTAATACCACGGCAACAAAAATTAAGTCCCAGACGCCCAATATTGGGTAATTTCCTGCTTTTAATTACCAGACATTGCAAGCAGACTCCAGCACACTGTCTAACTTGCACAAATATGTATGCGATGTTTCAGTAAGTAAATTTTGCCCACAAATTTGAACAATTTTTGGCTGCTTTCTGCAGTTAAAACTTCCATACTTTTTGATACAATCGATCAGTAAAAGGGAAGTAATCAAAAAGTATTGAACAACCTTACTGCAGATACTGTGCGTCTACTGTGTTGATGCACATACACTGGCATCAGAAAGAAACACAGATTACTTCCTGAATGCTCAGATGAGCAGGCAAGCCTTCGTTTTGACGCTTTCCTTCAGCCTCCTATCAGAGGGGGGCGGGGGGAAATGAGGATCATGTAAAGAGGGATCATGGGGAATGACCATACAAAGACAGCAAGGACAGAAAATGAAGGGCAGAGATGGATTTTGATAGATGGACGGAGGAAGTAATTTAGGAGGACTGTAAGGGCCTCAACTGGACTGATCCAAGCTTAATATAGTCCCAGAGGGGCAGAGGGACTGGATGGTACAGAGCTGACAATGCTTGCTGCCAGCCAGATGAACGACCTCTCTGACAGACACACACACACACATGAACACACTATTCAGGAATGTGCATCATCTGTATCCAACTATTACAACAAACACATACTGATTGTTTTTACCTCAAAAGAGCAAATCTAATTTCAAGAGGAGCATGCATTGATTTTGGATCTGAAGGACCAGCTGCAGAGTTATCATGACATCATTATTTTGAACTTTAATCAGAATCAGGAATACTTATTAATCCCAGGGGGAAATTTGATGTGACACCAATACAACTTTAGCGATCCAAATTCTTGCCCTCAGTGAAGTTTCGGCCACACATATCGGATATGAAAGATTTTTAAACTTTCACTTACAGAGACACAGAGATCGTGCTTAGAAAGCTCTCTCACTGTTTCTGTTGGTTAATAGTGAACACATAACAGAGAAGTAGGTCTGAGATCAGTGTTTCTTCTTATATTATTACATCGTGACATTCAACAGCTGACACTTTCATCTGGCACAAGTTGAAATGATCCAGTGTAGCAGCGTGTTGTTGCTTTTATTAACAAGTAGGCATTGTGCATTTTTAAAGGATTTAACATGTGTTAATGCAGAGTTATTTTGAACGAGCGGGTAAGCACTTCCACTAGCACGTCTTCTAATCTAATCAGCATGTTTTAAATCCCTGTTTATGAATTGTTGTGAATAAGTTGAATGCTGAGATTTGACACCGTGGAAGGTTTACAGCAGGAACTGTGCAACACATATCAACGCTGTGATTAAAGGCTTTATATGTGATTTTTTGATCCAGCAGGTGTCACCCTTGAGCACCAGCATGAAACCAAAACAACTTGCGGTACATTGTTGTGTTAGCATGCTAATGCTAGCGATCTTTATTATGCTTGTATCTTCACACTGCATGTAAATTTACCTGAAATGAGCGTGATCTAGAAACACAGTTAAGCAGTGAGTACAGTATGTTATTCTTCTTTTCTCTAGTCCCTCAATTAAACTACTTTTATACGTGAGGGGAGGAGTCAGCCGTCCGGCCCGGCGATGTAAACAAACTGAAGATAGGACTCTGAAAACTCTGAAAATTCCACAGACAGTGGGACTCGGGTGTTACACCCATTGTAGACAGTCATGACTCAGAGTTATTTTCAGAGGATATACTTGATTTATATTACATTAAGTGTGAAAAATCACATATAAAGCCTTTAAAAGACACTGTGCAGAGATATATGCAACAACTTGTTTTCTATGAAAGCTTTCTCTGCAGCTGCTTTGCCGTCAACGTATTGTTATTATCATCGCCATTATCTCAAGGTGAAAAGACAAAACAGGACTTTTTAAAAAGGTACACATCTAAGACATGTGGACGTCATGTTTGCTTTCGAGTATCCTCTTTTCTCCTCCCCCTTCAAAAGGATAAACCAGGTCAAGGGCTTTCTCCAGCATGCCAGTCTTAAAATAGCATGCTCCTTCACACCTCCTCTACATGAAAGAGCCCTGGGATTCAGAGTGTTAACCAAGCAAGAGGCAACACTGAGAGAAGGCTGTTATAACTGGAAGATTGACAGACGTGTATAGAATGTGTGCCTGGGTAATCGTGGGGCGCCATGGGGTCAACAAGGGGGACGTGTGAGCTGTGGTGTTGGTAAAGTGAAGGACTTGAACACATGTGCATCAGAGAACAACAAGTATGCAAAAAGTGAGAGAGAGGAGCAGGGGCCACAGAGCAAGCGAGACAAGACAGAGAAAAAAAAGAGAAAGAGCGAGCGCTGAACATTTGTGGTTAACAGCAAGCTGATGCTTAATCACATCACAAGACGTCCCAGCCCTCTTCGAGGGGATTCCCAGGGCTCTTTTTCAGCATCATCAGCAGACTTAAAGAGCACATCAAGTCTAGCGTGCATCCACTCACACTCTCTCCACCAGACGAGCTATTAGCACATCAGCAGCACTGTTTCCTCACTTGACAAGGTCTGTTTACATTAGGATGTTTTTGTTGGTGCTGTTGTGCTTCACAAGTACAATACAGGTATATAAAAACCTCGTTCAGGTTTAACAAGGGGGTGTTAGACAAATGAAAAAGGGAGCGCTGTAAATCTTAAGTGCCTGAGCAAACACACAACAGGACAGCATGTGTGTTCCTTGATTAGATGACATTCAACTTAACAAGTCCAAGACTGCGGAGTGCATTAGTGCTGCACAAAGAAACAATAAATGCTCTTAATGCCATTCAAGTCAATACTCTCAATAAAATCTGAACTTTGCGATAAACCTGGACCATTAAAACACACCAGCAGTCGCAGCTGCTTGCCTTAACAGCAGAATAAAACTTGTGTAAAGTTGACCAGGGAGGCAGAGAGAGAGGGAGAGAGAAAGTTTGAGTTTATATACAGGAACATAAAAAACATTCAAACACACAGACCTCGCTTATCGGGCCTTACTTTTCGACAGAGCGGACATGTGACTAATGAAAGACATGGTGAGGCGAGGGGGGAGAAAGCGGACGGAGAGAGGAGGGAATGAATGCAGCCAGTGTGCTTCTACTGTTAGCTTTCGGTGAGAAATGAAAAGCAGGGGAGGGAGACAATCAGACGAGACGATGCTGAAGGGACTGAGGTGGGTTCACCTGTGGAGCTCTGCGTTGTGCAAAAACCTCTGAACTCTTGAATGTTATCGCTCAGCTAAGGTGGAGGTACATTAAAAACAAAAACTACAACTGGACTCCTATGTGTCTCACAGTTAGGAATGTCTCCCCGTTCATCCGTCTTAATGTAATCAGTCAGTTCAAAGACACACAGAGAGCAGCAGCAGAGCAGTGCTCTCTGCCAGAGAGGGGCGGAGAAAAGCAGCAGCTTTTTACCGTAAGCCATGAGTCACTTCAGCCCACAGTACTGGACCTCTGCCATGCTCGCTCTCTCCTTTCTCTCTTTTCTTTCCCTCTCTCTCGGTCCCTCCATCAGCGCCAGGTCAGGCCCCTCTGAGGAGCCCAGCCAACGAGCTCGTTCCACGAGGCTCCTCCTCCAAACACAGGAAATACAGTAGGGCTGGTTAGCTATGCTCGATGACGAGTAGGAGGAAGATGATGAGAGGGAGAAGGAGGAGGAGGAGGAGGAGAAAGTCAAGAGGAATGGATTCAGATCATCACTATGGAGATAGAACTGCTTTCAAACTACATCAAAGTGACTGGACGAGGCTGTTATGGTTAAAAAAAATAAAAAATAAAAAAAAATAAAATTGCAGACAAGTGCTGAAAATAGTCTTCCTCTAACATCATCCCTGAACAGCAGAATAGACCTTCACCACTTGAGAACACAAGAACCCGACTTGAATAGCCTCAGGAAGGAAAATACACAAACATAGAGAGACAGCCAGCTGTGTTTACTCTCCATCCTCTCCCCCTGTATTCCTCTATCCCCACGTCTAATCCCCAGCCAGGCAGAGGCAGAGGGGGAAAATAAACAACACTCAGCAACACCTATGACGCCTTCGCACTGACTCTACAGGTAAACCACACGGCTTTGATCACAATGCAATAAAAAAAAAAAAAAAACATGGCCGATGGCCATTTAAGAATGCAAATGCAAATATATGCAAAACACAACCACTAATGGAGCAGCACATGGAACAGCATTCAGAAGGAGCTGTGAATAAAAATGCAAAACTTGTTGGGTGTAAAACTAACAGAGACATATTTTGAGTCCACTGTGTTTAAGTCTGTTAACATTATCTTTCAGTGTTGCTGTCTGAAGCCGGGCAGACACTGAAACGGATTAAGTCAGATTTTAACCCCCGACTAATTTTAGAGTGAGCGATGTTCCCGCCAGATGTTTTGTTGTTGTTTGACGTGCAGTTTGAAGGGAGGGAGAATTTGATTCAGAGACATCTGTTAGATTTTTTTGGCAGGTCAGAAAGTATTTTGTTCGGTCTGGTTTTTTTTAAAATAAATTAATCTGTTACAAACTGTACTTAGAGCTTTTTATTATTTTTCGGAGTAGGAGTTTATGTTTTGTGGCTTAACTTAACAGAGGCTGCAGTTTTTCTTCTTTCCAGTCTTTAAACAGAGAGACGCTGCCTTTGACTCAATGCTGAAGACGCAGTTGTCATGTTTGAATGCACTTTGTTTGAACTCACACTGTGCAAAACAAACAGTTTTTGTGTAGCCTGAGCTCACACACTTCACGAGACAAAATGTGCTACTACTATATTTGCGGCTGGATTTCACACCAAGTAGAGATGAAAGGTAACTATAAAGGATGATTTAAAGTGAATGACTCCTCCAGCAGCCCTCCCTGCTGTCTCCACTGAAAAGGGAAAAGGATGAATGTAGAGATGTGTAAGAGACAGTGTCTGGTCTGACCTGTAGGCAGGCTGGCTGTTGAGGACGAGGAGCAGGAGGGAGAGGAGTGTATGGGTAATGCTGCTGCAGGTTCAGTAGTGGCGGGACGTCCCGTGGTGAGAGGCAGGGTCCCCGGGGGAAGAGGCTGGCCCCTCTTTAACAGCTGCTTGTGCTCCTGCTGGCGGAAGCGCGGGGGAACCTCTCTGGGCGGGTAGCGCTGCTGGAGCGGAGTCTGGGGCTGCTGTGCTGTCTGCGGCTGACCTCCGGAGGGGGCGCGCTTGCCATTGCCACTGCTTGGGGGTGCAGGCGGGGCGGCACTGGGGTTGACGGGGGGAAGAGGAGGGGCGGGGTCCGGCTTGGCAGAGTCTGGCACTGTGGGAGGGAGAGAGAGGGTGGTGGGGCACAGGTAAGAAGAGAAATACAATAGGCAGGCAGAGCTGTTGAGTGCAAACAATTATTGAAGAATTAGTGACTCATATTTCATTCGTCATTATATTTGACATGTTGAGAGCAAACCGGTCTTTGCTGCCCTGGCACATACCAGAGATTCTCATACTTTTCTTATAATTACAGTCACCTAAATGAATCTGCAGATCAGTTTATGAAGTGTCTTTTTTTAATCTGTTCCAGAGAAATAGTAATCCCAGATCGATTACTGAGAGGACAATCTCCCCCAGCTTTCCACCCTTGAACCGAAAAGTCTCAACTCACTCGTCTACACTACACACACGCTCTGCATACAAACACCGAGGTTCACCGCCTCTTCATTGATATAAACCTATTCATGCCACTTTTTTTAAAGCTTGTACGAGGTGCTGGTGTCAGTAGTATTAAAAAAAAGTATCAAAGCTTAAAAATAATGACAGATCTCCAGTGCTGAAACGTTGCCAATGTATTTGTGCAGATTTTGCCTTTAATTATCTGTTAAACAAAGACATCCAATACTTCTATTTGTGTTGCCATGGTATCAGAATTGTCTGGTTACCTGCAACGCTTCTGTTTCTAATTTTTAAAGTCAATCCTGCTGCACACACAGAAATATCTGACATCTCTTCTGCAAACGCTTCCTGCTCTCTCTGCACTGCTGCTTCTTAAAGGCCATGGTAACTTTTGGATGAAGACGATGTTGTTAAACCCAGGAAGGCAGACGAGGAGACGTCTATAAATGCACATGATTGGCTTCCTCCTAGCTACCGGACGCTCGGAGCTTGTAGGCAGCGGTCAGCTTAAACACACGGCTGCTCTTTGGAGAAGCGGAGCACTCTGTTATAATCTCAGGGTGGTACTATTACAAACCTTTAGCCTTCAGGGATGGCCAAAGACACAGATTAGAAGTGATGAGGAGGTCAAGTAGCAGATAATGGACTTAGATGAGCCTGATGCATTATAGTGAGCTCCTGCAGGACAGCACAATAAAGAGTTCTCAGCCTCGTCAACAAACACTGTTCATGCTCTGTGGCAGGTTAAGGCCCCTGAAATGATCGCCTCTCACTGCTGTTTGTTATGAACCGCCTGTGCTCGAGCCAGAGTGCTTATGTCCCATTAGCTCTAGTTACCCATAGCAACAGAGTCTGATTTTTTCACATACACACACACATATACACCTTTGCCCTGACAGCAGTTTCTACTGTTTGTTTACCATTAGTCCGATTTTTGCAAACTTTCAGCCAATTAGCCGGCCGAAGAGACCCCTGTGCTCATCTTTCTTAAGCCTGCAATAACTGACATTACTGGCCACAAGGGGGCAGCAAAAAAAAAAGAAATTGCTAACATTGCCAACACATCACTAACATACCTTCACCTTTTAGGTAAAAGCAGTAAACAGAAGCCACCTCATGCGTCTTTAAGAGACGGGTTTCTGGCTCCCTGGTTCACTTTATTTCACCAGTCACTCTTTTCTAACTTCAGCTTTGGTGTAAAAAAACCCCCAAAAAAACACAGAAATATTGGACAGTTAAACTAAGTGTTACTAGTAAGTTCAACAACTGTGTCTGTCTGAGGCTGGTTTTAAGAAGTCTTTTGCTAATTCAGCTGCCTGTTGTGACCATAAATCACACTTAGAAAGCACAGCAGGCACGGGATTATTAATTATTAAATGTCATTATGATTGTGGCTGGAATGACTGCAATTCACTAAAATCCTTTGTGGTGCGAAAGGATCAAACCCTATACAAATAAAGTTATCATCAAACATTAAATCAGAAGGCCTCACTGCAAAAATAGAAATTTAAAAAACATATATATAAACATTATTAGAGCGCAGGAAAGCTTTTGATTAATTAATGCAAAGATATCCAAGATCATCCCGTTAATGTAAATTAAACACAATTAATTAAACATCAAAAGCAATAAGTAACGCTTTTCCTCTTTCAAATTTGATGAATTGTTATTATTAAAATAAGCAAATCTGTGCACTGTGAACAAGTCAAATTCCTTTTTTAAATAATGCACACAAAAAGACGACACTGTGAAGTCTTCAGCAGGCTAATATTCAGAGTGTGAAAGGTGAAGGGTCACCGCTAAGTCACGCAGGAGGATCAGCTCGGGGTCACAGAGCTGCTGCTGCTGACTGAGATGCATTATGGGACACAAAGCACACTGGATAATCTCCTCAGTACATTTCATTACATAACAGAATACTCGCTTAAACTAGAATGTAAACAGGATACAAAAAATGTGCGTAAAGCCGACACGCACTGTACGAGCACAAACGTCAGCTGATCAGCCAACCACGCTCTGTTGGTCATTAAAAGAAGGAGAAGAAAAAAAAGCATCAACCAAAAGAAGAAGAAAAAAAAAGAGAGAATCTTTGTGTGGCCTAAATGAGTTATAAAGAGCGGCGCTTCACCATTGGCTGCCCTCCCGAGTGTGTGCAGTGAAGCAATGAATAAGTAGCACACATGCGGCCGGCCCGACACACACAAAAACAAAGAGTTATGTAATGCTGAGGCCCACACGGAGGGGAGAGGACGGGATGGTGTCGGGGAGTAAACCTCCAGACATGTTTCCCCTCACATATAACAAGCCCCTGGTCCCCATGTCTCTGTGTGTGTTTATGTCTGTGTTGCATGTGTGTGAGAGCGGGGGGGGGGGGGGTCTCTATGTTATTTTTGCCCCCCAGTACTGTGCGACCACCGCCTGCATATTTTGGATCCAGTTCCACACGTTTCTGTCTCTCCCTCTCCACGCCGCCTCTGAGCTCAGGGAGGAAGCGGGAGAGCTCGAGTTTGCCTCTCATCGGATTTTTCTACATCTGCCCCATTTCCTCTCCGCTTCATCCGTCCCCACTTTCCTCTGATCTCCTCTCCATTTCTCCTTCATTCGCTGTGATCTTACTATTATCCTCTTGTAATTATTACTGCTTTATAGGCAGCAGATGGACGCTGTAATTTCCCCAGGCCAATTCTCCGCGCTGATTTGAAAAGGAGGTGATTTCCTCCTTAAAAAACAGGAGGACTTTGTGGTTGTGCTGCTGCGATGAATAATGAGAGTTATGGAGGCGATCGTTATACAGTTGGGACTCTCTCTGGTGTGTGTGGCGTCGATTCTTATGGAGGCTGGGGGAAGGGGAACGCTTGCTTGCTGGCTTGCTGGCTGCTGGCTGCTGTATCGGCCAATCAGAGGGGAGAAACAAGGAGGGAAAGGAGGGGAGGAGCTGACGTACGGGAGGAAGAGAAGGAGGTAGAGCAGAGAGGGTAAGTGATAAAGAGAATGGCTTATGTGTGTAAGACAGTCTCCTCCCCCTCGTGTGCTACTGTGAGCTGGAGTCTCGCTGCCTGAAACCGGCTCAGATCTAAATCCACTTACAATTAGAGCCTCGTTTGACTGTAGTGTGTCACACCACTACTTCTCACATGAATGACACAAATCCTGCATGTTTACCCACATCAGAAACAGGCATGCATTTAAGGCGAATGTTCCTCCATTTGTAATGAAAATAAGAGATTGAATGTGACGGGGGAGCAAAACAAACGTCGAGCATCAACAAGGTGTTTATGTTCAGTACAAGCCTCACAAGGCGGTGCTGTACAGAGAAATGGAGTCAAAAAAAAAAAAAAAGAGAGAGATCAGAGCCCCTCGCTCTGACAGCCTATTGACAAAAAACAGTCCTCAGCTGTGTGGGAGCACAGGAGAATTCCCAGTTCATCAAAGATGCACATCAAACCGTGGCCTCGGGGATGTGTGCACTTCACGGAGAGGAAGACATCCCTTTTAACACTTTAAAAGGAGGTCTTAATTTTCTCACAGAAAAGATGATAGCATGCTCTCCCGACTGTTTAAGAGCGACATGTTGGGGGGGGGATGTCAGAGAGTTTAAGGTAAGTGGAAGTGGAGGAGGGGGTGGGGTGGGGTGGGGGGGTGCAGAGCTGGAAACAGGCCACATGACCTTGAAGATAAAGGAACCTTCTGTGGGAAAGCTTTAGGAAGAGGAAGTCTTTAGATAGAAACGGCTCAGGATCTCCAGGTAAACTGGTTCATGCAAAGAAAGGTCACGTGCTCAGATCAGGTACGGAAAGTTAAACACAAATTACAAACTCCTGATTGTGCTTTCATTCTGCAAATGCCTTTAGTCGTGTCTGTAGATATACTCAACGCCATCTCCTTATAGTTTATGACTTATCAGAGGTTTTAAAACACATTTTTTCGGTAAATAAAATTCATAAATCATTTTTAACTTTTTAGTCAGGCGTCTTTCCTTTTGCTGGAGAAATTGAATATTTAGCAGTACGTCTTCTATTTAACAGAAGACACTGGCAACGCTTCAACTGTGAAACCTTGTTAATTTGTTGGCAGGTTTCCAACAGCAGCAGATTTAAACACCGTTTATATCACGTCAGTTCTCCCTACACGTCTGAAAATAGCAACCTGCTGACTCTGCGTTTCATTCATCTGAGTGCATTTTCTATATTACCGCACATACTTATTTCATCAATGAAGACAATATTTGCATCTGTAACTCGAGACAATATTGACACCCCCCCCCACCCCGACCTCTTATAAACATCAATAAGGTACTAATTGTTAACAGAGTAAAATGCATCCTTCATGCATGCCACTGTTCAATAACACAACAAAAAGTGAAGTCAAAATAGAAAAGACTAAATTCTGAACTCAAAGGCAGCAGAGAGAATCATCACATCATGAGCGAGGAGGGGAGGCACGTCTTCAGGGTTTCTCCATCTCTCTCCTCCTGTGGGCTTTCAAATGTGAGCTGTGAGTCTCACCAGAGAGGAGATTAAAGGGCTTAATTAGAAGAGAATAAATATGACAGTGTAGTTAAGAAGGGAAAGCCCTCCCTCGCCGCGTCACATTCAACACAGACAAAAAATGCTGTTTTTAAAAGCACTTTATATCTGACTGCACAGCGTGAAG